GTTGGGCACGGTGGCTCATGCCTGTAGTCTCAGCTGCTTGGGAGGCTAAGGAGGGAGGATTCCTTGAGCCTGCAACGTCCAGGCTGCAGTGAGCCGAGATCGCGCCATTGCACTCCAGCCTGGGAAACAAGAGCAAAGCGCCATCTCAAAAAAAAAAAAAAAAAAAAAAAAAAAAGGAACAAAATAAAAGAAAAAGAAAGACAAGGCAGAAAGTTGAAGGCTATCGTCAAGGCTCAGAAGTTGTGATAAGGTTCACAAAGGATGAATTTATGAAAGGAAATTGTGTGTGATCCAGTTGGTTATAATTAAGAGAATTATTTCTAAGTTTTTCTGAAGATTGAACTTTTCATCCCCTATGTTATTTATTTTTATTTATTTTTAAATTTTGTTTGAGATGGAGTCTCACTCTGTCGCCCAGTCTGGCGTGAAGTGAAGTGGCACGATCTAGGCTCACTGCAACCTCCGCCTCCCAGGTTCAAGTGATTCTCCTGCCTCAGCCTCTCAAGTAGCTGGGACTACAGGCGTGCACCACGACTCCTATTTATTTATTTATTTTTAGTAGAGATGGAGTTTCACCACATTGGCCAGGCTGGTCTATAACTCCTGATCGCAAATGATCTGCCCACCTCAGCCTTTCAAAGTGCTGGGATTACAGATGTGAGCCACCACGCCTGGCCACATACTCTATGTTATTTATTTGTTTACAAAATTTTTAAAGGTTGGCTGAAATGCCTGGGCTTCAGTGATCCTCCCACCTCAGCCTCCTGAGTAGCTGGGACCACAGGCACATGCCACCACATCTGGCTTGGTCCCCTGCCTTAGAACAAAGTTTTCTTGAGCTAGTGGTCTGCTCATAGTAAAACTGCAAGAGGTTTAGATTTTTAATTCTCTGCAGCACTTTTCTGTTTTTTTATTTTCTCCATTTAATTTCCCTTGTTTCAGGTCAGAAATGCTGTCTTCTTCATTTAGAGTGGAAATTTCATTCCTTGAGGTAGAGCTTTCCTCTTAGAGCATCTCAGACTCGTGTTTCAGAAGTTCAGCTTTTGCTACATCTTGCAGCCTGTGATTCTCAGGACACGCACCACTGCCTCCAGCTCCTTCTCCCCATCAGAGGGCCTGGGATGGTGACGCTGTGCTTCAGCCTTTTTGTCAGCTCCTGTATCTCTCCCCGCTGGTTCTAACTCTTTGTTATGAGCTGATGCTGAAATGTCTGTCTTGAAGACCTGGAAAAACAATGTTTTCTTCCCGTATAATTTCACCCGTCTTCCTGGGTTTTCTTGACGTGTCTGAATTGTCCGTGTAACCAGGAAACTTCTCATGCTTTTGGTTTTCCTAACAGCCACGTATTCTCCTGCTCGAGCTACTAACTGTCTCGTTTACATTCCTCTCTAGTATGGTGTGCGCTCAAAACCTTGGACACACGCACACTCTTCCCGTGTCTGGTCAAACTGAGTACATTTTCATCAGGTCTGACTTTCAGGTAAACTAAACAGATGTCCCATAAGTGGAAGAAATCACATGGCAGGAGGTTCTTCTTTACCTTTTTGGTGACTGGCCTCAAAAAACAAAGATTTTCAAGATAACTTCCTGAGTTGCCTTTATTTGTTTTTTAAATTACTTAGGAAAACTGAGTTTTGAAAGGGTTGTTTTTTTAATCTATGTATCTTTCTGTATTGCTTTTGAAGTATTTGACTATCACTCTGGTTAAATAAATGACTGTTATTTCACAGTGACCTGTGATCCTGTTTTGATCAAGTGTTTTGAACCTTTTGACATCTTTGGCAGCTGGAAGACTCAGGGTGGGTGGAAGACACCAGCGAGCCAGGAGGTGGGGAGAAGCCCTGGCTATCTGCAGAACCGGGCAGGTCTCAGCTGAGGGAGGCCTGTGGCCCAGCAGGAGGCCCAGCAGCTGGTGGGAGTGGGCAGGGGAATGCCCTGGTGGGGGAGTTGGGAGGGGACAGGGGACCTTGAGGGCCTCAGCTGCGTCAGGGCTTGCACTTCCACTGGAGTTGAGAGGGGAGCTGTGAAGCCTCCTGCTTGGTGGCAGTGTCTGATGTGATCCCAAAGGCCCCTCTGCCACTCATAGCTGCCAGGAGGCTCATCCACAGCCCCGTGGTGCCTGTGCTGCCCACAGAGGCAGGAGGACGGCTAGAACCCAGGAGTTCGAGACCAGCCTGGGCAACATAAAGAGACCCTGTCTCTAAAAAAATCTAAAAATTAGCCAGGCATGGTGGCACGTGCCTATAGTCCCAGCTATGTGGGAGGCCAAGGCACGCTGTCTCTCCAACAAACAAACAAACAAACAAAACAAAAAACAAACAAGGAGAGGACACTAAGCTAAGTGAAATAGGCCAGTCCAGCCACAAAAGGACAAACACTGTGAGATCCCACGCAAGTGAGGCCCCAGAGTGGCCACATTCAGAGAGAGAAAGTAGAGGCTGCGGGAAGGAGGGGGGCGGGGGGGAGATAGGGAGTTATCGCTTAAATGAGGACATTTTACCAACATTTTAAAATAAAGTTCTCTCTGACTGCTTTGTGGAGACTGGACTACAGGGGGCTGGAAAAAGGGAGACAGTGAGGAGGTGACTCCCCAAGCCCAGGTGAGGGGCTGGGACCAAGAGCAGAGAGGCGTGGGGTGGAGAGAATTCCCAGGGCTGTAGGGATGGAGCTGACAGGGCTTCTGGAAGGATTGTTGAGGGCTCAGGGAAGGGGACATGGAAAGGTGGGGGACAGGTATCGCCTAGAAACACCCGGGAGGAGCAGGCAAAAATGGGAGGGAGGGGACCCAGACCCGACGGGAGCGGGCTCCAGACAGAAAGGGGTAGGCACTGGCCGGCCGGAGAGGTGCGGGCCGCCGAGGGGGCGCCAGGTTTGTTTTGTTTGGATGTGAGGGAATCTCAACCCGTTTGCTAGAGAGAACCGTAGGGTGGGGGCCGTGCCTTGGGAGGAGGCGGCTGGGAGGAAGCGAAGGTGCACGGGCGGCCCGAGGGCACAGCGATGTCCCCAGGAGAGGAGGGGGAGAGGGAGTGTGTCGGGCGGCGGTGGCCAGATTGGATGGTGGGACGAAATAGGTCCTCAGTCCCTGGGTGCCCGGGACGTGGGAGAAGGTGCGTGAGGGGTGTACGAGGAAGGGGGTGCGGTGAGGCCGAAGGCAGCCAGGGGCCATCCAGACCCTGGGAGGGGGGGCAGCAAGCCCGAGACTCCTGGCGACCCAGATGCACCGCCGACTGAGGCCCAGCCCACCTCGCTTCTGCGGAGGCGTTTCCCTTCCCCGCAGGGACGCGGCCGTCTGTGGGCGCTAGAGGCAGGGGTGACAGGGCAGGTTTCGAGGGGGCGCAGCGTAGGACCGAAGGGGAGAAGGACGCCTGCGGCCCAGCACGTCCCCGGAGGCACGTCCCCCGCAGAGCTCAGCGGCCCCGGCGACCGCGCGGGGCTCCCCCTCTACGGCTCCCGCCCCACTGGGGGACTGCGACGGCCTGCTCCCGGGCTCGGGGCTCCGGGTGGAGAAGAGCGCGGACGTGCGCACTAGCCCGACACTCGGGAGGGCCGCTGCCTCCCCGGGCGCCTGGGACACCAACCCGCAGCCCCACCCATCCCCTCGGGCCCCGCCTGCGTTTCAGCGCGCTGGGGATGCAGTGCACCCCCGAGGCGCGACCAGGTCCCCGAAGCCCGGCGTCGGCCCAACCCGGAGGAGGCAGCAGCGGTCATGGACACGCTTCCCCAGCCCACCGTCCCAGCCCCGCTCAGGGTCAGGACACCGCGTCCCGCCTGGGCAGGGGCGGCTCTGACCCCGCGAGAAGCAGGTGCGTCCGCGGTCCCAGCTTGTGCCGGGAAGACCACCGGCCAGAAGCCCAGAGGTTGGGGATAGAAGTCGGCTAGGCGGCGGAGGGGGCGCCCGAGGCTGGGGGTCTTGCACGGCGAGAGGGGCGGCCTCCCGGTAGGGGTGCGGCTCCGCCCACCAAGAAGGGGGTCTGGCGGGAGGTGTGGTTAGTCCCTGAGCTCGCGGCCAAAGCGCGGACTGCTGTGGCGGGGGCGGGGCGGGGGGGCGCCAGCACCCGCGTGGGCCTGGGGCGCCTTCTGCAGAGGCCACGGCCTGTGTAGGTGTCGGCGTGGGGCCTGGCTCCGATGTCTGAGACCATCTCTCCCAGGGCGTCCGGGGCCCAGATTCGCACTTGCCGGGCGCCCCCAGGGACCACTGGCGGCACCGCGCTCTTTAAGGCCAACAGCCCTGAGTTCATGGGGCTGAAATCGGCACAGAGAGGCCGAGGACCTGTGGTTGGGGCTCCCGGCAAGCGGTTCTCCGGGCTCCGAGGACACCGAGAGGCGGCGAGCAGGACCCTGGGGAAGGGGTGGGCAGCCGGGAGGGACCGAGGAGGCTGGTGCCCACCCTGACGCCCGAGGATCAACGAGAGGCTGGGTCAGGAAAAGGCCGGGCGAGGGCCGATCCCCCGAGCTGATCCCCCAGGCCAGCTCTCTCCGGGCGGCGCGACCCCACACTGGACACTACCGGCCCGGGCTCGGAGGCCAGGCTTTTGCATGCACCGCTCCCCGCCCCTCGCGAACACCTAGCAGCTCCCTCAGGATCGCCCCCGACCTGCTGAGATCCAGCCAAAGATCTCCCACTTCCTCAGCTTTGCTTCGCCGGCAGTGCGTCCTGGAGGTCTCGCCCTGGCGCCGCCTCCTCCAGGCAGCCCTCTAGACTGCATCGGCCATGGGCCTGGACGCTGCTCCCGGGGCAGCCCCCGGCCAGGGTTAGACACACCCGATTCCTGGAGCGTCCTAGGTGCCTCTAAACGCGTGGCCAGCGCAGTCTCGGGTTTCCATGACGACGACGTCTGATGGGGAACCCGGGCGGGGTCGGGTCGGAGCGCATGCGCGGTGCGCGCCGGACGCGGA